ACTATATTATAGTTATCATATGCACTTTCAGCAGAACATGGAGATACCACCATGTGTGCTAGATAGTGAATATGTTTACTGTCTATAAAAAGAAAAAACGAACATGTCTTACATCCTATTTTCTAAGCAAAGCATGCAATGTGTCGATGTTAGATTGTATGCTGTGGGTAATACCCTGCTTTGTGAATTCTGACACGGAGTGTGCACGGTGCAGAGACTAGGCCCATGGGGTTATCCTGTGCCTGCAGAGTGGAAAAGAACTTTCCCACGGGTGTTTGGGCAGACTGGAGTACACAGTGTTAATGCTCTGTCATTAGCTTTAATTAGCTGTGTTTACAACAATACCACAGTACAGACCCTAGTGTTTATTCAACAATGCAGCTGGGAACCTCAAAGCTAGTACTAGTGGAGGAAGGAATAATGTCTGGAGCGAAGGTACAAGAGGTATACTAAATTATAAGTCTGCAAAGATCAAAAAGTAAAAAAAAAAAAAAAAAAAGATGTCAGTCTGGCACATTTATCAGAAAGACTTTATACTTCTAAAACAATAATCAGTAGGACTTAAAACACCTGGCAAAAGTACCTCTTTGACTGACAGCTTAGGTAGGTTCACAACTATGCGGTTTCCATGTGGCCATGTTTGTGTGGGACAGCAGCATATTTATGTGAATGGGCTGTTGTACCTGCAAGAAAAGCAGAGAAAAAGGTCCCGGCTCCTTTTCTAAAATCACAGCCACACGGAAATTGCATGGTGCTATGCATTTCCACGCACAAGAAAATGTGCAGTAGTTTTCAATGTATGGGGGTGTTTTTAAGAATGAATGGCACCCCTGTGCGTCTGCTAAGCAGCAGCACGTTTTTGCAGTGGGTGCAGGAACGCATAGATGCATAGATGTGAACCTAGCCTAATAAGGCATCCTTTAGGGTCAGTCTACGTTCAACAAAAATGAAACCCCTGAGTTTGCACCCTATTATTTATTACAGGTATTTATATACAACAGGCAATTTACACATATATATTGTGAACATTCACATCAGTTCTTGCTGTTAAAGGACTTTCAATCTAGGGTCTCTACCTCACATACATACATACTAAGGCCAACTTAGACAGAAGCCAACTAACCCTCCAATATGTCTTTGGATTGTGGGAGAAAATCAGAGCTCCCAGAGGAATCCAATGCAAACACAGGGAGAATATGCACATTCCATGCAAGTAGTGTCATGGTTGGGAATCTAACCAACGACCCTAGTGCTGCAAGGAAGAAGTGCTAACCATTAAACCACTGTGACATGGCTAGCGGGATCTTCACTCAGTACCCAAATCATTTTGCTTTTCTCAGACTTGACAATAAGTAGCACTGATGCTACTGCAAGGTTTGCAGGGGCCAAAAGACATTTGGCTTGTTCTGACTGTTTTTAGCCAGCTTGGTAACAATTTCAAGTCTATGAGGTGAGAAATAAGGGGAAATTTATCAAAACTGGATCAGGCAGAATCTGGGCTGTGCATGACAACCAATAAGCTCCTATCTTTCATTTTCAAAGCTTGACTGAACAAGCTAAAGACAGAAGCTGATTGTTGCCATGCACAGTAGCTCCAGATTCTGGCTGCTCCAGTTTTGATAGATTTCTACTAGACACTTGCCATCTTTTCATTCTAGGGAGAAAGCTGACTGGACTGCTGTAAACCTATTCCTTCCAAGATAGGCAAGCCCCACCATTGTTTTTCTTCGTAACTTTCCTGATCTCCATTCCATAACAATCCATCTGTATTTATGGGTGTGCTGGGTGACAGAAATGTTAGAGGGCAGTTGGACTGTGACTACATTTCATCAGACTCCCCAGCAGCCTTTCTCAACCAGGATTCTGTGGAACCCCAGAGTTCCTCCATATGTTGCCAGGGGTTCTCTGAGCAATGAATAGTTTCTGCCTTTCAGATATGAAACCACTGATATCAATGTTTTTTAGTTATCTGTAAGGGGGAACCTTCCTATTGACCACAAGCTCTGAGGAAAAGGGTTCAGCTCACGAAACGCGTCGGCTTATCCGCATCATTAGACACAGATGTATTGTGACTGTCTTTGTGGACCACTTATACTGCTTTTATTCATGTTGGTTTGTGAGTATATATCCTCTTTTTATTCAAAAAACACGTGTTCTACCATGGTAATGCACGATGAGAGTGCGCCCTTGTCTGTTCTTTTCCACTAGTGGTCAGATTTCCAGATCTTAGAAGGGCAGCACCTCTTCGGTTGGCATTTTGGAATCTCCTTGGTTGTATGAAGACTGGAGCGCTGGTTTCCTTGGTTTATCTATTGACCACCAATGTAAAAAGCATACTTTTCACTGACTACCAGGCTAATGTACTGTGAGCTGTATAGATACAGTATATCATTTCCAGGAGTTCCCTGAAACATCAAATGTATTTCAACAATTCCTCCATCTTAAAAATGTTTTGAAATTATAATCTACCCTTGCCCTAACACTCTGATGGAAAGGGAGACAGAGGATTCTTGACATACCCTAAACATGTAATGGTTTGACAGATGAAACACTTTAAAAAGAATATCCCTCCTAAACTATTATATCTCTTCCAAACTATACCAATCACTCTTCCATCTGTTTTTTTTTGTTCCCTACATTCACTGAATACCAGTTTTATTTTGCAAAAGTAATTCTCCAAACTTAGGCTTAGGACCTTATGTAACCCAAAAAAACATTGGGCGATGCTGGCTTACCGGACTTTGAATTGTATCATGCCACTGCACTTCACGCACACATTACTGATTGGTTTCTCTGCCTAAATCTTAAGGCTTCAACCTTACTAGAACAGGACATGGATTTATGTGCCTTACCATGGTTCTGTTCTTTTCTCTTGTTCCAAAGCCTCTCCCTGCTTACCTTAGCATCCTTACCTGTATGGTACTCACTCATTATCATATTAACTCAGTTCACTTATGCCTCCATTCAACAATCCAGACCGTCATGGAGGCCATCAATCCTCTGGTATCATTTCTCCTAGACACAGGTAATGCATATTGCTCACCCCTCTACAGGTTTGCCCTCTTTCCTTCCATCTTTTACTTCTATCTTGTTTGATTGGCTCACGCAACACCAATTGATTATTTTTTTTAAAAAAACACCACTCTTCTGGTCTGATTCAGCATGCTGTTTCTGATTATGAAAGACTGTGCTCTCTCAGAGCAGCCAAGACATATATCTCCCACCTAGACACATGCTTTCCACAATTTACAAAGTACTTCAGCAGAAGCATGCCAATCAACCTCTCTCTGTCATGGAAGTGTGGACCAGAGAATTGGGACATGAGGTTACACCCAAAGAATGGCAAAAATATTTAATTTCGTGCTATGTAGATGAAAAAATAAAATAAAATACTTACCAGATGGTACAAAGAGCTTGTCACTTTGCACAGTATTTTCCCTAAGTTTCTGGTGTTTGTTAGAGATACAGCGATTCACGAGGTACCTATGTCCATATTTGGTGGAAATGTAGAAATATCCTTCATTTCTGGCATATGTTCTTTACTATATACAACAAACTCTATGGTGAGTCATTGGGATTGATTTACTAAAATTGGAGATTGCAATGTCTGGTGCAGCTCTGCACAGAAACCAATCAACTTGGTGATTGTGGTGTCAAAGCCTAACTGAACAAGCTGAAGTTAGAAACTGATTGTCTACCATGCACAGCTGCACCAGATTTTGCACTCTCCAATTTTAGTAAATCAACCCCATTATCTCGTTTCCTTGAAAATGCTTTACTAAACATTTTTCTCAGTTCACTTGCCGCCTAGCCACTGTATAAAAACGGTGGCAGGGCGGCACGGCTTGGCAAAAGCACGTTTTAATACGTGCTGTTTCAAAACAGGTAGGGGGCGCGTGCGAGGCGCGCCGCCGCCCTACCTTCACCGCCGATCTCAGCCACGGGGTGTCAGTCGCCGGGTCACAGCCGGTTATTATCAGCTGTGGCCCAGTGATTTGCGGCAATCAGTGACAGAGAGCAGGGCTGCAGTAGCTCTGCTTTCTGTCACTTCCCTGACAGTTCCTGACACGTAGACCAGGAGAAATGAGTTTCTCTGTCCCGATCTGCGTGTCTCCCTGCAGTACACACCCCCTCCCCGCCCCCTAGTAAAACACTCCCCTCACACAGTTAACCCTTTCAGTGCAAAAAAAAAGTTAATCCCTTCCTCCCCAGTGCCATTAGTACAGTATCAGTGTTTTTTTTTGCACTGATCACTGTATTGGTGTCCCAGGGGATGTCAGTGACCCCAAGTCAGTTCCCCCCAGTGTCAGAATGTCCGCCGCAGTCCCGCAGTCCTGCCATAAGTCGCTGATCGCCGCCATAAGTCACTGATCACCGCCATAAGTTGCTGATCGCCACCATTATTAGTATTAAAAATAATTAAAAATCCCAGTATCTTTACCGTCATTTGTAAACGCTATAACTTTCACGTAAACCAATTAATTTACACGTATTGTGTTTTTTTTTAGCAAAGACATGTCACAGAATGCATTTTGGCTGAAATTTATGACGAAATTTGATTTTTACATGTTTTTTTACTGGACATGTTTTATAGCAAAAAAGTCCAAAATATTGTTTTTTTTTTCTCAAAATTGTCAGCCTTTTTTTTAAACGCAAAAAATAAAAAAAGCACAGGTGATCAAATACCACCGAAAGAAAGCTCTATTTGTGTGAAAAAAAGGACATAAATTTCATTTATGTACCGTATTGCATGACCGCGCATTTGTCCGTTAAACTAGCGCAGCGCGTATAGCAAAAAAATTGCGTAAATTGCAGCATCTATACCATAGTTTGTAGACGCTATAACGTTCACAAAAAGCAATCAATATACACTTATTGGGATTTTTTTTTACCAAAAACATGTAGCAGAATACATTTTGGCCTAAATTTATAACTAATTTTGAGTTTACTATATATTTTGTATAGCTGAAAGTAAAAGATATAGTTTTTCTTCCAAATTTTTGGTCTTTTTTTGTTTATTGCGTGAAAAATAAAAAGCGCACAGGTGATCAAATACCACCAAAAGAAAGCTCTATTTGTGTGAAAAAAAGGACGTAAATTTTGTTTGGGTGCAGCATTGCATGACCGCACAATTATCAGTTGAATTAGTGCAGCACCGAGTAGCAAAAAGAGGCCTGGTCATTAAGGGGGGTAAATCCTCAGGAGGGCAAGTGGTTAAGTCATCAAAAAACACAACTTCTATGACATTTTATTTTAGCAGGTTGACAGTTGGTACCATCTCTCAAAAAAGAAAATACCCCTAAGACACCCTCACTGATAACTTGGATATATTTAGTGAACAATATAATGAGAATGGAGGTGCTCTAGCTTATGATTCAGTTACTGAGATAAATTTCTCTCCCAATGTACAATGTGGATTTTGCATTTTTTCTCAGATGCTCTGAAAAGTAGATTCTAAATGTACAACAATCCCCATAAGCAACTGAGCCCATCATTATGGTTGAGCAGAGGTTTTATGAGCTATAGAATATCTTCTCTAAGGTCAAGTTCTAAGGTTTTACTGTATTTTGACCCTTCATTCTGAGATCCCCAGACCAGACTACTTTTCTTCTAAATTAGAGTGCTGGAGAGAAGAAAAGTGAGAAAGTTCTCCTTCTAGAAAGGGTAAATATTTCTTATGTCTTTTCACAACTGGTGGTTTTACTCTGTTTGTTTGGCTCCGGGAGAAGGTCCGCTTTACAGTGGTTTATAGGTTTACAGTGATGTTGATGCATAACTGCACAAGTAAAGCTAAATCCTTTCTTGCACTGCCAGTTGAACAGAGAAGCTGGAAGAATTTTTTAATTATTTTTTTTAAGCTAATTTAACCAGTAACACGTGATAAGCATAATCATTTCCTATACCATAATGATTTGATATTATCTAGCACAACTGTATGGGCAATTTGCAAACATCAGATGTTTTCAGCAGAAAGGACTGGTATGGTTTTGGCACAATCTTTTCTACAATGCCAGATTTATACTATCTGCTCTTGAAGGCCAACTGTCTTGCTCTGCGCCCTTTAGCTCCAGTAACTGGTTAGACTTAGCATCACACAAGATCAGATGTCACAGCTGCACAAGGCACCCCAAGGTAAAGCTGAACTCTGGAGAAATGTCAAAACTACCCTTACAGTGGGGCTCCCCCAGCATCTCAAGGGTCAAATGCTCATTTTTATGTAGGGTATCATTAAAAAGCATTTTTACTTACTCTATCCTTCACTTTCCAGGCAGCAGCCAGATTGTGGGTGGGCACTCGGTGTCCTCACTCACAAAACTGATACTGTCAGAGTGCGACTAATAGACAGAGCACAGAAGAGAAGCATCTTTGGGGTTCTGGTCGCACAGAGAGGAGGAAACCTGCTGGGGTGAGGAATAAAAATAAAAATGTGTTTTAATGGCAAAAACAAGCACTTAATCCTTGAAGTAGTTGTGGATTTTCCCTGGAGTGCAGCTTTAAGGAAGGAGAAGCTGAAAGAGACAGTGGAGGACATTTATCAATTCTTTCACACAGCAATGCTAAACAGGAGCAGTGAGACAGACTGTTTTACTACAGATTTACTACAAGGTTACAGCTTGAGTCATAAATTCCTCCCCTGCCACAGTGACAGAATGAGACCAGACACTGACCACTTCTTAATTATGCATCTGCTTGGAGTGAAAATCAGCATCATCTTCATGGATAAATCTGTCTGAGACCTTTGGAAACTGTTGCAGTTGGCATCACAAGATTACAGATGCAGGGGTTGCAAACACTGTAATCCTGTTGCTCAGACCTGTATGGAGAGGAAGCATTATTGCACCTAATGCTTTGCTTGATAAACGTCCCTAACAATAAAACAGAGGACTAGAAGAGGGGGCAAACTGTTGCCCAATTCCACTAGCAGATCATATTTAGGTATACCTGCGCATACACAATGCTAGGTTGTGCAAGGGCAGCAACAATGAGGACCCATTCAGATGGTGCAGGCAAAGTGGCAGTCTGGAATCTGTTATCACACAAGGGAATTTGTTACTGACTGCCAGCAAAATGATGTGTGGGTGGTTGTGTGCCTCCCTTGGTAGCCCTGCCACCCTAGCCCATGGCTTTTGTTGTCTATGTCTGGTTTTCTATGAATGTTTATTCAAACAAAATATTGTTCACAGGACTATGTCTAGGTCTAGTCTAATAGCACCCAAAGTGTCTCCTCCTACAGCCATTTTGGCTACAATCTAATGGTCACATGACTATCACAGGCATGCCAGGAAAGGCTTTTTGATAGTAGTTTCTCTTTTGATTAGATGATGCCAACATTCATCTCCCACCTTGCTCCATTGGCTGAACACTTAAACCCAAAGCAAGTGCTTCTGTTTTGGGACCCAACAGTCTGAATAGATTGCTCAATGTTAGATCTTCTTAAAAGCATTGGCCAAGGATGCCTGCTGTGGTCATGAGATGAGATGAAAATCATTGTTGTGCTATGCCTGTATCACCTCATGTCTATATGTACCAGACATTAGTATAAATAGTATACACAACACACCAATGTGACTGCAAAAGAGAGATATACTGCTATTATTAATGGGAGCAGGTTGTGCTTCCTTGGCCCTCCATCACTTTTATCTAATTTCAAAGAGTGATTAATTCCAATCTCCCTGTGTCACTGTTCCTTATCACATTCAATTCTCTTTTCTGTGACTATAGTTAGATACTACCAGGGATGGTAAAAAAATCTTGACTAGACATATTACTTTCGATAACAGCTGATGATCAACTTAAGAAAAAGACATCTGCTTACTCTCATAGCATGCTGTTTGTTTTGTGTAGCATAGAGAATGAAATGCTCTTTTTTATGACATCAGAATAATGCTTGAAGTCTAAATCCACCTAAGAGGCCACCAGAAAACTGACAGTTGTATTAAAGTTCAACTCTAGCTGAAACTTTGTTTTTTTATTTGAGTTGAGTGGGGATGAGCTATAACTTCTTTTGGGTTTTTATTGCTTTCACTAAGAAAACTACTTTTTGGTTCAAATCTGTGCTTTTCTTATGAAATGACCCTGATGGGCTGAATGGAGTAACTTAGTCACTGTCTACAAGATTTCCAGTGCTAAGATTTCCCACTGTAGTTCACTGATTAGACTCATCTTTCCAATGAATCAAGGGTGTCAGGGGTGAATAAACCTTCCTGAAATTCTCTCTTCTTCTTAGAAAACTGGGTGGCCAACTGAGCGTATATTATGCCAGATAATCAACAATACTGGTACTTGAAGACATCTTTACTATCTCAGTCTCTAGAGGTGCCTACTCTCCAACATGGTTTATAGCCGCCTCCCAGATTTTCTCAATCTACCTTTAAGTTTAATCTTTTCATTAAGCCAGCTCTTTCAATTTATGACACCACCTTCTTTACTGGCTTACAATTTTTGACACTTATCTGGTACTTTTGAACTTTGTATGTTGTGTACACTTTCTGTAAGCCTCCTTTTTGTATGAAGTTTACCCGGTATTGAGACACTTTCGCTGTTTTCTCATATATTGTTTTATTGGATGCTTTATTTGTATACATAAAGTATTTGAAAAAAAAAAAAAAACCTGCCTGAAGTATGAATTTTCCTGGGAGAATTACTGTTTAGGGAAGAACTTCAATCCAAAAATACATTTCTATAGCTACTAATGGCAATGTCTTTGATATCTTTAAAGATGAACTCCAGAAATGATCTTTATTGCATACTTACATTGGTCTGTCTTACAATGTAAATATGCATATCTCCTTCCTGAAGGGCTGCTGGGGAAGTTGGAAATCACTGTAGTAATTACTACTACAGTGATAGTTGTGATCTTCTGGTTCCTACTGGGTTTCTGTGTGAGCAGCTTTACCTTTCAAACTCTCCCCAGGGGGTCACTGGCTTGGCACTGCTTTTTTTCAATGAATAAAAGCCATTTTGTTATTGGACTAGGTGGAGATTGTGGTGTCACTGCCCACCTCTTCAACATTTCCATTTAGAGAATGCTTTGTATAAATTGAAAAAATACAAGGCGCTCTATGAATGGTGGCAGTGCAGACAGAGCATTCCGTGTGGTCAGTGTGCAGAGGGAAAGTCACTTGCACAGAACCCCAGCTATCATTGTAGTAATGGTGACTCCTATAGTGATTGTCAGCTTTCACAGTGGCCCCTCAGGTATGTGATATGCATACATTGTGCCAAGCAGGACCAATGTAAGTATACAATAAAGATCATTGCTGGAGTTTCCAGAGCTCACACTCTAATGCTTCTAAAAGCAAACTAACTGGTCTCCTAAATTTGACATCTAGAATAAATTTTTTCCATTTCCCACACTACTTTAAGATTATTGGCTGGAGTCACACTGGGGTTTATTTACTAAAGCTGGAGAGTCCAAAATCAGACTCCCTTCTGCATAGAAACCAATCAGCTTCCAGGTTTCATTGCCAAAGCTTCATTGAACAAGCTGAGGTTAGAAGCTGATTGGTTTCTATGCAGAAGGGAGTCTGATTTTGGACTCTCCAGCTTTAGTAAATAAACCCCACTATGTCTATGTTGAACCCTCTGATTATATACATGTAGGCAAGTGCAGTCTACTTTCTCCACTGAAAATGATGCTCATCGACAGCGACATTGCAGAGGGGGAGAATGTCAAGAGGAACAATGTTCCTCTGTGACTTCCTGGTTCACTGGAAAAGCTATCCAGTTGGATGCTGCCACCCCATGTAAATCTGGGAACCATCTTGGGTCAGATAGAGTGTATTTAAGAACCTGGCTCCCAGATTTGGTGCACATTTTTCATGTGGGTAGTGTAGGGAAAGGTCACCCATCTGTCAGGGAAAATGAATAGTGGTAGGGAAAGGATCCAGATGAGTAGGGATGGGACAAGGACATGCCATCCTTCTTGCAATCCTCCCTTTTGGGTAAAGACATGCCAGGCTGAGAGAGATGCTGTCAGCATGCTCAAGACCCGCTGTATTCTACATTACAAAGATATACTGTTAGTGTTCTCGGAAGGGTGCCTTCCTACCGGGTTGTTTGTAAACTGATTTTTTCGTTAACACAAGTTCTGTTTCTGCAACTGGACTCCCAACAGACAGCTATGATATCTGAGCAGAATAACATTTTTCCATCAACAGCTCCTTAATTTTTTTTTTTTTTCAAACCATTGCCATTTATCATAACTCTTTCAGTCATTGTTTTTACCTCAATAGTAATTTTTTTTTTTACAGGAAGGGTTGTTGTGTTTCTGAAACTGTATTGAAGGCAATTGTACTTGTACTTGTAGCTCCACTGAAAATAAACTAGGCCTACCTTATCTGCTAAGAGGCTGCCAGGCCCATATGCCAGTTCCAGAGCACACTAACAAAAATGCAGGCTCAGTCTAGGAGTGTCTTTTTGAAGCAGTACTTAAACACAGGCGCGTATAGGGATGAGGGTACAGGATACTGCAAAAACATGCAGGTAAAAGAAGACAAATTCTCCGGAAAAGTTATGCAATAACAGTCTGAAGTATTGCTGGAGGTAGAGGGGACAGACAGCTAGTCTGAGATTCTGTAAGCACAGTCACAGTACTTGTAGTAACCTCTGGCATCTAACCCTTAAAGCACAAGCATACCTGGACCTCTAGGTAAAAGGTTCCTCTCACAATGTCCTCTTCAGTGATAGGAGTCCTTCTCAATCCCAGGTTCCTATGGTAGTCTCCTCAAGCAACTGTCTTTAAATCCAGATTCCTCCAGGCTCTCAGCCAAGCACATGCTGGGGCCTAACAGCAACAACACTTCAGTAACACTGGATGCTTCCCAGGGGCAGAGGCCCCAGGTGAAGAGAGAGCTCTGAATGCAACCTCCCCAGCCACACCTTCTGGGCCTACCTCCAAGGGATTGGCTGAGGTCAGATAAGTATTCGTAACCCAGTGGCGAAACCCTCCTAATCTATTTCTAGAAGGTTTTTCCAGAGATAGGCAGGAGCAATCAACCACCAGGCTTATGGAGAACTGACCAGACGTGGAAAAAAAGTTGCTGTTCAACTCAATACAGCAGAGCCAAATACTAAATGTAGCTAGCTTAGGGCAGGGTTGCTACATACTCCAAGAAACATGAAAACTGTCATTATAACCGTTCTTCATAAAATGGCAGTTGCCTGGCTTTCTCTAGTTTCAACTCTTTGAGTCACTGTCCTGGAACATGAATGTAGCAAGTTAGATGGAAGTGATGTCAGAACCAGCAGTCTGCATACTTGTTTTGGATTAGTGGTTCAAAATAATCAGAAACTATTGAATTAGCATGACAACAAGGTGACTAGCATTTTCAGAAAGAAATGTCATCAATGGCAGACAACAACATTCTTGCAGTAGAGAGTTTTCCTTAATTACAAACAGTGCTTAGCAGAGTTCTTTGCTATTGGCCTGCGGAGGTACTAGTGACATTTGAGAAATAAATGTCCAGCATATAAGTTTCACTGCTTAGTCTCATTATTGCCTTACATGTACAAAAACAGAGATGGACACTTTGGTAAACGATGGCATTTTACTTTTAACAACTGGACATGCATTATGTGAGAGACAAGCAAATTGCTGAATCGAACAGACACATGCCATTTAATAATGGTACCCCTGGAATTTATAAAGGAATAACTTCCCGTGGTGTTTGTAGAGTGTAAAAGCTGAAATATAACAGGTATTCCACGTACCCCATTGACTTTTATGTTCTCTGAAAAGAAATGCCCTTGGGATCTCATCCAAACAAATGTTTCATCGACTTTGAAACTGCAGTGTTCAGAAACACCCAAGTTAACATCAGCTAGAGGTCTAGTCCTGCAGATCTGCACAAGTACTTCTATATAAACAGACAGAACAATGAATTATGCCAGGAGCATAGCACATCGCATTGGGCGCAATGACATCATAGCATATGCTCAACAGGAGAATGCACACATTGTTTTAGCAAGTGTTTCCCCATCTTTAGTCAGCTGTATACCGCAATCATGATGTTTTCCATAACAAAGTGCCACATGTAATCAAGCTGCTTATAGTCTGGAGTGGAGTCTAGTGAGGCTGCCAAATGAACGTCTGCACAGCCTCTCTTCTCTACCTCTCAGGATCTTTGTAGCTGAAGGGCCTTGGAAGCTCACAGCGGGGGACACCTCTGGTTTAAATCAATACACACCCTCTAGTGGCTGCAATCCATCAATAGAGCACATATTCTAATAGAAAATATTCTCATTTCTGTGACAGTTAGCAGGCAGAAGGGAGAGCATTGGTATTCTAGATAAAAAATGTGCACTCCTATGGGCACCATTCAGTCAACATCCCACACTTTGTAAAACACTGATCTAAAGCACAATAAACCTCCCAATAATTCCCATTAGAAGAGAGTCAACAAAGAGTATAACATGAAAATGTGTGGATGTTCCCAGAATTCTTCAGTGGTGGGTAACAGGGGATTCACCCTAAGACTCT